ATCTCTTGCTCTGAAAGTGAGAATGTGATCTTCTAAAGGCTGCTGCCCCCTTCTAAAGGCTGCCGCCCCCTTCTCTTAATCTTATCAAGAGGTTTCCAGATTTGAATCTGTATTCAGATTTGGACTCTCTGAGTGGATAGGGTAAGACCCTATCCTGTATGCTAATCTAATCTCAGATTCACCCCTTTATTTAACTGATCAAATCAGCCCAGTTCGAAATGGGCTTTAGGCCCAATAAGTATATGTGCTCCCTTAGCCTTCCAAACTGCTGCCCAGTTGAGCTTCCTTGTCTAGCGTGGGACCCAAGCATTGATCTACACATCAGCCACAAGGGTTCAGCCCAACCTTTCTTACAAGGCCTAGCCGAATTCACTAGAAAGCCCAATGAACCCTCTGAGCCCATCACATGGACTCTATGGGCCCAACACTTACACTAAGTGGTCCCTGGGCCAAGCCACCATGTAACACGCAAGGACTATGGGCAGATGCAAAATTAGCCCACCAGGCATTACCCTCAATGGTCTTACACTTAACCTCTCAGCCCTTAATGATCATACACATCCCGAACAGAGAGGACCTCTCCCTCGGTTGCATGGCACAGTGTTGCACTCTCTGCTCACATGGATCCCGGGAATTAAAACTCTTTTGCAAATGTTTTTGAAACCGTAATATATATTTATATCCGTATATAAAATATATTTTGCAAAACAAATTTCAACGATTGAAATCGGCTACCGGCAGTCTAGGTTTCCATCAGAGAGAGTGCATCCCCGATCATTACCTTTGTCCGACAAAGGGGCTGATCCTGTGACTATGATCACCGACTCAGATGAATCTCGGACTGTCCCAACATACCTAGGTTTTGACCCCTCTAAGGATCTTACTGATTGGTATATCAAAGACAGCCCAATCCGACACCTAGTGTAGTATCATAATCGAGTCTAGGGGTCAGGTGTTACTTTCCAGTTTTGCCCACTAATATCCAAGGTCTAGGGCAATACTGGAAATCTGGTATTTCCAGTATCGCTGTTGGTTCTGCCCCACCAATACTGGAAATCTGGAAATCTGGTATTTCCAATACTGGAAATCGGTACGTAGGACGTACACTGTTGGTTCTGCCCCACCATCGCTGTGTCATCTTCAGCGGGAGCAGATCTTGGATCTTTCTTTGGGCGTGAACACCGACATTGGGAGATTTTGATTCTCCGTATCAGGTATAATCCTTCCCTTGATCTTTGGTTCAGATCTGGTTTGGTTTGGTTCGAGTAGGTCCTTGACTAATTGATTCTAAAATAAAGGAATATGATTCCCAGTTGATTGAAGGGAGAAAATTTTTTTGAAATTCTCCCACCTATTCCGCTGCTTTCTTGGCATCCATATGATGGAATTCTCCCTCTTTTCAGTGGTATTAGAGCCATAGGTTCGAATCTTGAACAAAGAAATCAGATCTGAACCTACGGAATTCGGTAGAAGCTATTCTATCCGGGTATTGCGCAAATTGCAGTTTTATTTCAAGAAATTGTTTCTTGTATGGGCGATTGATTTGAAATTAATTTTCGTTAAATCTGAAATTTAATTTAGAACTGTTCTTATTTTATTTCTGATTTAATGGACTGTTCGTACATGGAGTTCAAAGATCAGATTTGGCGCAGAATGTCTGTGCACTTGTTATTTGTAGTTTCTATTCATTTTGGTTTGTAAAATAATTTTTTATTTTATTTTTCTAGATTGAATGTATAGGATTCAATCAAGAATGTAATTAATTAATAGAAATAGGATTTCTATAATTTTTTATTTTTTTCTTGATTGAGAAGACGACGGCGCTTGAGAATTGTAGATGAAGAGTTTGCTATCTGCGTTTTTGCAGTTTGGGAAACTGCAACCCTAATTACTGACCTCTGTTTTGCAGGTTGTACGAAGAGTCCAGATCTTTTTTTGATTGTCAAAAATCTGGAATTTTAATTTCAGGTCTTTCATTGAATTGTTTCTTGAATTAAAAATTGTTTTTGGACCGTTTCGGACCAGATTGGACCAAAACTGTTTGGACCGAATCTAGGGTTCGAAAGGGGCTATATTCAGTCCTGTTATTTCCCACTTCCAAGTCTGGAAGCAATTTTTAATCGGAAGAACCAATTTGGCCCAACCTGTAAAGCCTAGTTTTAAGGGGTTAAAACTACAAAAGCCCAGTTTTACATAAAAGCTATATGGGCCAAACTGCTAACTGTGATTCAGCCGATATACCTAGATGATATTAATGGTTAATATTATGGACTTTAAACGGGCTGATTAATGGGCTTTACAGTAGTTAATTGATTGGATCAATTCTTCCATTTCATGTGATGTGTGGATGTTTGATGTGCTACGACCATTGGCCATAAACACTTGGCTCGTGATGATACGTTAGTGGCTCTTGCGCCAACCATGGCTGAATGCACATCATTGCCATGGTGTCCCATAAGGTCATTGGATGACCCCTTCCTTTCATGGTGGGCCCCACAACCCTGAAAAGGGACGCATGCGAAAACCCTAGCCGAATTGGGTCACCATAAATCTAACTTTATGAAAGTCAGTGGGAGCCACTCTGGTTTGACCTAAATTAACTAGTGCGTAAATTTTTGTTCCCTTCAGCAAATATGAGTGCATGTGATAGGGAGATCCATATGATGGACTCTCTAAAGGCCTTTCATCATTATCACGACGATGGGTCCTTCAATAATGAGGAAATGCACCATAAAATTGGCCAATCCATTTGCTGTTGGGTCTGTCAGAGTGTTTCATAAGATGATAGGGGCGTCATAGACCGATGTGGGATGGGCTTCACCAGAAAATGGAAACTCTCTCATGATACCTTGGCGTAACCTGAATATGATGGGTGAGCACTCACTGGACAGAAAGGTTTACCTGAAAATGGCTCTGAACCTTGTTTAACAAAGGCCAAAGGGAAACTCATATGATGAGTGGATATGATCCATCACAGAAAGGTGGTGGGGTTATGCAACTGAAACAGTTGGCTCCTCACACCTTATGTGATTTCCCACATTTCCAGAGACATCTTTTCCGTCTCCGTCACTGAGATAGGAGGGAAATCTTAGAGATGAACAAATGGAAATGGAACACAGATTAAAAGCCATATCAATGTAGGTAACATGAATCAAACTAAGGTTGTGGACTAACATTTTGCCCCGGAGCATTCGGGTGACTGGGTGACAGGGCTTCTGAGGGCCCAAACTATGCCGACTGGTACAAAAACCTTATACTAGTCTTAACTTCCAAGAAGTTGGATAAGGTAGTTAAAAATCCTACCCCGGATCGTCCGGGTGACAGGGCTTCTAAGGCCAGAAGGAGGGAATTCCAAGATTGGGAGGATAAAAACTCCCTAGCCCACTGCTATGTCATTGCCTCCCTAGACAATCCAATACATAGGCAGTTTGATCAGATCGAACTAGCTAAGGACATATTGGATAGTTTAAAGATGATGTACGAAGAGCATAATTGTTCTACTCGGCAGAAGGTCTTGAAACAGTTCAAGACCGCGCAGATGTCCAAGGGGCAGAAAGTTCATGACCATTATCTTCGGATGATGGGCTACATTAACGAACTCGAGGCTCTTGGATCCAATCTAGATCTTGGCACGCAAGTGGATGCCATCCTTAATTCTCTGCCTCCTTCCTTTAATCTGTTCATAATGAACTACAATATGAACAATTTGAATGTCAGCGTCTAGGAACTCAGTAATATGTTACAGAGGGCCGAGGATTTGATAAAAAATGATGATCCTGTGGCTATGCTTGTTGAAGCTAGCAAATCGGGCAAGAAAAAAAGGAAGGCAAAGAAGCCCCAGAAGAAAGCTGCCAAACCTAAGAAGCAGAAGAAAAACAAGGCATCCGATGCCTATCACTTCCGCAAGCAGGCCGGCCACTGAAAGAGGAATTGTCCCACCTACTTGGAATCTAAGAAAGGTAACTTCAAAACTTGTGTCATAGAGACTAATTTGTTAGTCATTTCTATGTCCTAGTGTGTTAACTCCGGGGCTTCAACTCATGTGTGTAATTCACTGCAGGGGTTGAAAGTTAGTAGAAGACTAAGTGAAGGGAAGTGACGCTTTTCTTGGGAACGACTGCAAGTGTTGCAGCTATGGCAATAGGAACCGTAGAATTAGCTTTTAGAGAAGGAATTCTTCTACTAAAAGATTGTCTTTATGTACAGAACTTAAGAAGAAATTTGATATCTGTTTCTAAACTGTGTGCTGATGGATATACTATTTATTTTAGTAATATGATTATTGTTAAACGGAACAATAAATTCATCGCATGCGAAGAACTAGAGAATGGTCTCTATGTTCTACGTCCTTCTCTAGAAACTAACTTAACCGAAACTATGTCGGTCGAAAACCCCAAGAAAATAAATCATGATACAGTTACCCCACGTGCCTATGGCATTACCGACTTGGCCATATCGGTTTTGACCGAATCACAAGGCTGGTAAAGGATGGTCCTTTGGATTTTCTAACCGTAAAAGATATTCCCACTTGTGAGCCTTGCCTCCGAGGTAAGATGACAAAATGACCATTTAACGGTAAGCCTGAAAGATGTACAGGCACACTTGACCTTATACATACTGATGTATGTGGTCCCCTGAATGTTAGGACTCGTAACCAACATGTGTACTTCATTAAATTTACCGATGATTATTCTCGGTATGGTTACGTGTACCTAATGAGACATAAGTCCGAATCCTTTGAAAGGTTCAAAGAGTTCAGACAAGAAGTCGAGAAACAGTTAGGGAGAGAAATTAAGGCCCTTCAATCAGATTGAGGTGGCAAGTATCTCTCTAACGACTTTAGGGACTACTTGAAGGTCAACGGGATAGTATCATAATTGGCTCCTCCTGCTATACTACAACTTAAGGGTGTTTCAGAGAGGAGGTCTAGGACCTTGTTGGACATGGTCCTGTCACTTCTCATACACTCGGAATTACCCACATCCTTTTGGGGATATGCATTAGATTATCCCTTCATCTAACAACTTAAGGATTTCTTTCATTACCACTTCCTTCATTGCTGGGTTGAGATTCCTTTGCGATTCTCTGACTGGCTTGGCACCATCTTCCAAAAGAATTTTGTGCATGCAAATTGATGGACTAACTCCTTTTATATCAACTAAAGTCCAACCAATTGCTGCTTTATGCTCCTTCAAAACCTTGATGAGCCATGCCTCTTGATCATCAGTCAACCCTTTTGCAATGATCACTGGCAATGTTTCTTCATCACCCAAATAGGCATATTTAAGGTGATTTGGCAAGATCTTCCACTCTAACTTAGGAGCCTACAAAATAGAAGGTAACAATTTCTTATGAGAAAATGATGATGGAATATTAGAATTTGTTAACCTTGACTCCAATATTGGCTCTGAAGGTTCACAAGATGAATCTAACTCTTCCTTCATATCCAATTGTGCACTCAATTCGAGCTCCTCATTCATATCTTCTTCTTCAAAAATTTCCTACACAATTGAATCAACAATGTCAACTGAACAGATTGAATGACATTCATTGGGGTACTTCTTTGCTTAAAAAATGTTAAATTTAACAATCTCACCATCAAACTCGATAGAGAGAGTACCCTCATCCACATCTATTTTGGTTTTGGCTATTTTCATAAATGGCCTGCCTAATAGAAGTGGAGCTGAATTTGTGATAGTGTCTTCCTCCATCTTCAAGATGTAAAAATCAGCTGGAAATATTAGGTCATTAACCTACACCAAAACATCTTCAACAATCCCCTCAGGGTAAGTGCTAGAGTGGTCAGCTAATTGAATGACTACCCTAGTCTCCTTCAATGGACCAAAATTCAAAGCACAATAGATTGAGTATTGCATGAAATTGATAGATGCACCTAAATCTAGCATGGCATGCTCAATTCTTTTCTTGCCAATCACGCAAGGTAAAGTAAGCATACTTGGATCAGCACGCTTTTCTGGCAGGGTTCTCTTGATGATAGCTGACACATTCTCCCCAACCCTTACCTTCTCATCACCTCTCAGCTTCCTTTTGTTAGTGCACAACTCATTCAGAAATTTTGCGTATTTCGAGATTTTCTTGATGGCATCTAACAAAGGAATATTTATCTCCACCTTCCTAAAGGTCTCCAAAACTTCTTGCTCGTACTCTTCTTTATTAGATTTTTCCAACCTACTAGGAAAAGGTGGCACAATGGCATTAGAAATCTTAGGTAAAGGGGAGTCGGGCTTTACCTTATTGGAACTCTCAAGTGGATCTTGTTCATCCTCTTCTTTCTGCTCTTCATCCACTTTCTTTTGTGAAGTAAGTTGTGACTACAATTCCTTCCCACTTCTCAGCACCATTGCACTAGCACTCTCCTTGGGATTGACCACCGTCTGTGATGGTAATTTTCTAGAGTTTTGTGCTTCCAACTTGCTAATAGAAGTAGCAAGTTGACTGATTTGGTTCCCTAAGTTCTGGATGTTGGCCCTTGTTTTCTATTAGAATTGTTGAGTGTTAGTCACTAGATCCTTAACTATCTCATCTAAAGACATACTTGAACTTGAGGGTTGATTTTGGGCTTGGGTAAGTGTTGGAATTGGAGGTTGTCTGTTGAAAGCTTGAGGCTGGAATCTCTGTGGCCCTCCTTGATTTCCATAGCTCAGATTGGGATGATCCCTCCACCCAGGATTGTAATAGTTAGAATAGGGATCATATTTGCGTTGAGGTTGGCCAGGAAATCCTCCTACGGCATTGACTTGTTGCATTGATTCATCTTGCACTGATGAGCACATGTCCGTAGGATGCCCAGGAATTGAGCATATGCCACAAACCTTAGTTGTTCTTAATTGCCTTGCAGCCAGTTGACGAACCAAAAAAGTTAGATCAGAAATTTGACTTTCCAGATTAGAATGGCTTACCTCATTAACACGTCTGATAGCTCCATCTGTTCTTTCTCCAAATTGTTGAGAGTTCTCAACCATGTTGGAAATCAATTGCCAAGCCACCTCAGGTGTTTTGTTGGCTAAGGCTCCTCCACTATCTGCATCTACCATACTCCTATCCATAGGTTGGAGTCCTTCATAGAAGTATTGGATTAAGAGCTGCTCAGGTATTTGGTGTTGTGGACAGCTAGCGCAGAGTTGTTTGAACCTTTCCCAATACTCATATAGTGTCTCATCACTAGACTGCCTTATCCCACAAATCTCTTTTCTAATATTTGCAGCTCGTGATGCAGGGAAATACTTATCTAAAAACACCCTATTCATCTCATCCCATGTACGTATTGAACCAGGAGGAAGAATATATAACCAGTCCTTTGCCTTATCTCGTAAAGTAAAAGAAAAAGCTATCAGTTTTACCTGTTCCTCAATCATACCCTGTGGTTTCATGCTTGAACAGACAACATGGAACTCTTTAAAATGCTTGTGAGGGTCCTCACCTGGAAAACCATGAAAAACAAGAAGCAATTGAACTAAACCTGATTTAAGTTCAAAAGCTACCTCAAGAGTGGGATATTCTATGCACAGAGGCTGTTGATTTAGGATTGGTGCAGCTAACTCCCTTAGTGTTCTTTCTCTATCAGCCATCTCTTCTTCTTCTTCTTCATCAAAAATAGCTCTATCACAAGTTGTCAAGTCACAATTGAAATTCACCCTTGGAGGTGAACGACCCTTCCTTTGCTTAGCCTCCCTTCTCAAACGACCCTTGGAGGTGAATGACCCTTGGAGGCATGAAGCTAAGAAATTAAAATAGCTCCCCGGCAATGGCACCAAAATTCTGACGGGTTGTCGAAGCCCTCAGATTTAATTCTAGTCCCACTCAATGAGTAAAATTGTAGTAACAGTGGTACCAGGTCAAATCCCACAGGGAGCAAGTAATTAATTTCTCAGCCAAGTGCACAATTTAAAGAGTGGGAATTTCAAATAATTAAATTTCTAAACAATTAACACAAAATAGCAAATAACAATTAACAAGGAAAATTTTAGTCTTACCAAATTCTGATCCAAGGGTTCAATTTGAGTCAATTGATCACCGATCCTAGGCTAGAAATAGCAATCTTGCAATTCAAGCATTTAACTTTTAGATTTATTAGGATAGCCATAATAAACCTTATACCTTCCTAGTTTAGTTKACCAAACCCAGCATTCAATCAACACTTATCATTAACCGACTGGGCACGATAGCGTTCCATATCAATTAATGATAGCAATAAATTTTATGAAAGCAGTTAAACCAAAATAAAAATAATTGAGATAGATGCAATTATTAAATTTTGTTCCATTGATTCCCTTTAGGTTAAAACATGCCAACACATTGGTCAAAGGCTATCACGAACAATTGACCCACAAAGATATTGACCTAATTGCTACTTGTACCACTATTCATGACAATTACGGATCACCGAATCATGGATAGTCGTAGGAAGATCAATATTAATTAATTTGTCAGATTAATCAACATCAACTTCCATAAAAATATGCACAAGAATAAACGAATACTTGAATTAAAGGCAAGAATTTAAATTAAGCACATAACCTCACGGTGACACAATTGAACTAGAAATTCCCCTTGAATTAGAAAAGAGAAGCTCAGCCACTCATGGTTGTCATCTACTTCTTGATTTGCTTCCAAGATGGATGGATTGATTGATTTCTAAAGCTAGTCTGCCTCCCCCCCCCCCCCTTTATATAGCTTTAGGAGGAGGGGTTGTTTCCAACTCCTTTTAGGAGTTCATTCTCAAAAATAGAAAGCCCTAATTAGTTTCGATCTAATCCTATCCTATCTCTTATCTAGTAGTCTCAATCTTTTTTATCTTTCTAGGATTACATTTGAAATTTAAATCTGATAAGACTCTTTATTCTTGAATTCGAGTTGGGCTTCTTTAATAATTTGGGCTGCTATAAGGCTTTTCTGCGACTTGGGCTTCCGCTGTGAGTTGGGCTTCTCTACGAATTTGCTTCGACTTTAGGCCCGATTATGACTTTGATGTAGACCGAATCTGTCAAATCCCAGAACATGAAAGTTGTGGAGTTCTCCCTATTCTTTCCGGTGCATCTGGAATCATCCCAATCGGAGTCCGGTTGTAGGAGTTATGCCCATATTACTAAACAGTGCCGAAACAATGCAAAATCATCCGATTAGCCTTGTTTCCCTCCTGTCGCCTTCTTGCTTGCCCTGAATCGAAATACAAGAGTAATGAGTCCAATTAAGATTTAATTAAGTGTAAAATAATGAATATTTTGGGATAAAAATATGATAATTTTTATTCACATCAATTTACAAGAGGAATAAGGGCCCAGATGGTAACATTGAGACCTATAAAGCTCGTCTTGTGGCAAAATGGTACACTCAAAAAGAGGGAAACGAATATGAGGAAACCTTTTCGGTAGTGGTCATGCTTAAGCCTATTAGGATCCTACTAGCTGTAGAAGCATACCATGATTACGAGATTTTATAAATGGATGTCAAAATCACATTCCTGAATGGAGATTTTACTGAAGATATCTATATGTACTAACTACAAGCTTTCATAGCTGCGAGTTAGGAACACATGGTGTGTAAACTCACTTGATCCATATATGGACTTAAGCAAACTTCTAGGAGCTGGAGCACCCAGTTTGATTATTTTGTTAAACAGTTTGACTTTGAGCAAAATTTGGATGAGCCCTATGTTTACAGGAAGATAGTGGGAGATAAGGTTATGCTCCAAGTTCTGTATGTAGATGACATCCTACTCATTGGGAATGATGTAGGGATGTTAACTACGGTGAAAGCGTAGCTTTCACAGCAATTCTCTATGAAAGATCTTGGAGAACCCTTCTATATCTTAGGTCTTCGACTCTATAGAGATAGATCGAAGAGGATAATAGGATTATCCCAGTCTACTTATATTGACAAGATTGTCAAAATATATAGTATGGAGAACTCCAAGAAAGAAAATGTTCCTTTCAAACACAGAGTCACTCTCTCCAAGAGTATGTCTCCCAAGACTCCCGAGGAGATTGAGGGCATGAGAGAGGTTCCCTATGCCTCAGCCGTAAGGAGCATCATTCCATGCAGTGCACTCGGCCAGACATTGCTCAGGCAGTGAGTGTTGTAAGTAGGTTTCAATCTAACCCAAGTTAGGAGCACTAGACAGTTGTGAAACACATATGGAAATACCTTCAAAGGGCAAAAGAGTTTATCTAGTATTGGGTGGTAGTTCACTACAAATCCAGGGGTATACTAATGCCGATTTCCAATTAGACTCAGATGATAGAAAGTCTACATTTGGTTACATATTTACGATGGGTTCATGTGCAGTTAGTTGGAAGAGTAGCAAACAGGGGTCCACTGCAGATTCCACAACCGACGCCTAATTCATTGCCGCAACTGAAGCTGCCAAGGAAGACATTTGGATGAAGAAGTTCATTCAAGAATTAGGAGTAGTTCCATCCAACACATCACCCATTCCACTATTGTGTGACAACACTGGAGCCATTGCTCAAGCTAAGGAGCCATGAACCCACTCGAAGTTGAAGCACATGGAGAGAAAGTACCATGTACTGCGGGAGATTGTTAGTAGAGGGGACGTCTAGATTCAGAAGGTAGTGTCAGCGAAGAATGTAGCAGACCCATTTACTAAGCCACTAACACAAAAAGTGTTTGAGAAACACATGGAAAGTATGAGACTCTGGCTTGTACCCGATTTGACCTAAGCGCAAGTGGGAGCTGTTAAACATTTATGCCCTTAGCTCCAATTAGATTGATTTACTTATTGACATTTATTGTAAATGAATAAAGTGCAAAATTGATTCATGTTATTTTGGTGTTTTTCTATGTAATACCCATAAAATGGACATTTTTGAGACTCGTGTTAGTTTAGAATATTCACAGTCATTGGATAGATCTAGGGAGATTTATTTTGCCAAGGCTGACACCGATGTGTCGCCAAGTGGGTTGGGGTGGCTTGTCTCAGTTGCCAGGGTGAGACCTAAGGTACATGCAGTGTGGGTTTTCTTGAAACCCTGAACCGGACCAAATTTCAATATTGCCTTGGACCTTGGAGATAGATGGGCAAAACTGGAATGTTACACCTGACCCCTAGAGTTGATTATGGTACTGCATTAGGTTTCGGATTAGGCTATCTTTGGTATGCCAATCAATGAGATCCTTAAACAGGTCAAAACCTGGGTGTGTTAGGGCAGTCCGAGAATTCACCTAAGTGGGTGATCATAGTAACAGGATCAGCCCCTTTGTCAAACAAAGTGAATGATCGGGGAATGCACTCTCTCTGATGGAAACCTAAACTGCCAGTAGTTGATTTCAAATTGTTGGGATTTGTTTTTGTAAAATATATTTATATAGAGATATACATATATATTATGGTTTCACAAAATGTTTGCAAAAAGGTTTTAATTCTTGGGATCCATGTAAGTAGAGAGTGCAACATTGTACATTGCAGCCGAGGGAGAGGTCATCTCATGTTGGGCAATGTTTGATCATTATGGGCTGAGAGGTTAAGTGTAAAACCATTGACGGTTATGCCTGATGGGCTAAGCATGCATCTGCCCATAGTCCTTGGGCCTTCACAAGATAGCTAGACCCAAGGACCATTTAGTGTATATGTTGGGCCCATTGAGAGCCCATACTGATGGACTCAGGGTACCACACCATAGAAAGAGAGCCAAATTTGCCAACATTTAAAGGGTAAAGTACGTAGTGTGACTTAATGGGCCTAAGGCCCATTTTGAACTGGGCTTAAGTGATTTAATTAAATGGGTGAATTTGGGTTTATAATCTGATTAGGATTAGCAGTTAGATAAGATAAGTCTTATCCACTTGAGAGTCTAGATCCAAATATCAGATTTGGATCAAGAAACTCATTCCTAATTAGATTAGGAAGCTGATCCAGGGAAGGTTACAAATAAGGGGCGAATTCTACAGAAAGATGACTTCTTTTCTACAATCTTTTTCTCCCTCTATTCTTGCTGCCCTGCCTAGTTCGATCTCCACCTCTTGGAGTGATCAAGAACTATTCTTGATATTGTTTCTCGGTGAAGAAACAATCTGAAGTCGTGCTCACAAAACCTTACATGATTCTTGCTGAAGAATCACATGTTCTTGCTGAAGAACCCTTCTTGTTGATACTGCTATTCCTTTTCAGGTATATCCCTACTTGCATCCTTTTGATTTCAGATCTGGTATGGTTTGTCTCAGCTGCCAAGGTGAGACCTAAAGCATATGTTGTGTGGGTTTGCTTGAAACCATGAACCAGACCACTTTCCAATTATGCCCTGGACCTTGGAGATAAATGGGCAAAACTGGAATATTAGACCTAACCACCCCTAGACTCAATTATGATACTGCACTAGGTGTTGGATTGGGTTGTCTTTGATATGCCAATCAGTGAGATCCTTAGTGAGGGTCAAAACTTTGATATGTTGGGGCAGTCTGAGAATTCACCTGAGTGAGTGATCATAGTGATAGAATCAGCCCCTTTGTTGGGCAAAGTGAATGATCGGGGAATGCACTCTCTCTGATGGAAACCTAAACTATCGGCAATTGATTTCAAACTTGTCAAGATTTGTTTTACAAAATATATTTA